CCTGTGTCAGCCTGCGCGGCCTCCCCCCCGCCGCTTCGGCCTTCTCCGCGCACCTGGAAGCGGCCTGCGGGAGAGACGTCCCCGAAAGCACCCGGGGACGGAGGCTGGCCTGGCCAGCCCGAGCCCCTCTCGTGCTCCTCTTGAAGGCGAGCGAGCGTGACATCTGCCTCTCTCCAGTTGTCAGCAGCTTCCCCTCATCACCTCGACCTCTGCGAGGCCATAGCGAGCGGCCGCACAGTGATGTTACCGTCTTACATGCGCTAGGCTTAAAATGCGGGGGTGCCGTCGTCTTGGCTGGGTAGAGAGTCAAAGAGCCAAGGGGACATACAGAGACTTACTGCGGCCTCAGCTGCGCTGCCGGTGACTTCCCCTCTGCGTCTGCCTGTGCAGCCTGGGAGTTGTCCCAGCCGGGACTGAAAACTCAGTTATCTTGTTTCAGGGCTTTAGGTAACTTCAGGATTCTCAGTACTGCAGCGCTAAATGTCTCTGTGAACGCGGATATACCGCTCTTACTGCTAGGAGCATTAGCTTTCTTCAGAGGGGATCGAGTTAGGCTAATTCGTTTGGTTTTATAGGCGACAACCGCCGTCGACGTGGTGGGTGGGTGGGTTGACTGCCCTTGGTGTCATGGAGTAACTTCTCAAGAGCCTGAACTAAGACTAATACTTAGCAAATCTTTGTCCTGGGGTTTTCCTACCTCCGGAGTAGGAATTAGTAGACACAGAGTTTGTTTTTTGTACTTTACTTTAGCAAGAAAATAGAATCTGAGGCTGTTAGTCCTGAATCTACTGTGGAGGTGATGTTAAAGGGGAAAATACCAGCAAAATTCTTGAGGATATTATCACTATTTTAAAGCGTTATATTGTCTAGGATTTTCCACGCTCTTCCTGTATAACGTTACGTATTTTTATGGATTTTTCAGCTCTGACCAAATGACAGTATTCTGGGTGAAATCTAAAGGTTCGTGTTGCTACTTCTGCTGAAATCTGCTACAACTTACAGTCGCTATTAAAAATTAGAGACCTCTCGTGGAGTTTTTGGAGATTACATCTTTTAATGTTGGTTTTATTTATTGTTCATTTTCTTTTAATTTCTGGTAGATGGCCTCGAGGTGTTTTTACCAGCAGAGGGAGACATCTGACCATGAAATTCAAACACAGCTGGTATTCCCTAGCTTGTTTTATCAATATACATATAAAACTCAATGTTCAAATTAACTAGTTCAATAAGTAATTTAGCTCATTGATTTTTGGGCATATCCTAAGTGCCATTACAAGCTACGGATATTTTAAATGCCATTACCTAATAGAAGGAATGTTTTAAGCACCTTTTATTGATTTTATTACTGCTTTATTTTGCTGTCTTGGTTTAAAATCATTTTAACCACTCTGTAATCAAGAAGAAATATATCGTTGGTGAAATACAGTCAATTTCCTAAAAACCTTTGACATCGTTAAATAAGGAATTACAGTTGTTAAATCATGTCAGGCAATAACCAAGGGACAGAAAAGATATAAAATTTGGAGCAGTGGGCTAGCGTACCAGTAAGCTGTTTTGACCTTTGGCATTCAGACTCTGTATGTGACAATCACACTTCAGTTCTGTTCTTGGTTCTTATATCAGTCAGGAGAGATTTAAAATCTCAGCATGCCAGGAAGGTTGTTGAAGGATAACGGAGTATGATCTAGAGACAATTAAGGGGTATTTTAATGACCTGCTGTGACTTTTTGTTAAAATTACTCTCTAACTTAGCACATTTGAAATTTCATTTGCCAGACTGTCTTGCTAGTAGTGTAGTATATCGATGTTATACACAAAAGGAGTAAATTGAGTCTGCTCGTAGGGATTTCAGTTACTCCCCTTCCCGGCTCTTTTGACTTGAGAAGATTATCAGTAATATTGAGCTAATCAGTTGGTAGATGCAGACTGGGAATACAGGCAGTATGTTGCTTAATCAAAGAATTGAAAAGTAAGTAATGAATGTTTGTGCTCAATAAAAAACAGCTAATGAGTTGATTGCATTGATGCTTGATGTAATTTAACTGTAGAGTGGCAAACATCAATACTAATATGTGATTTGGCTCATGACTGCTGAGCTGAGATTCAAAGTTTGGAGAGCTTCTGCAGTAAGAGAGCACCTGGTCACTGAGCTGAAGTGGGGAGCTGTATTTTGTTCTTTAAATGAAACAAATCAAGTGATTCTGTCATTAATTGTTTTTTTTTTTCCTTTTTGTCCAAAAAAAACTTCCCAACCCCAACGTAGAAGGGACTTACAGATGACTGTTTTCAGAGGTTTAATAAAAGCAATTTCTGGGTTGAAAAATGAGAAGAATAAGTTGACATGAAGTATTTTAAAATTCAAATTCATGATTTTAAATGTAAAACCAATCTCTAGTCTTCCTCCAGTAATGACCTTGACCTCAAGGGGGAAATCAATCACAAAGAAACGTTATGCCTCCTGCGTGGAGGTGGGCATCTGCTGTGTTTAAGCTAGATAACGGAAATGACATAAATGAATAGGGTATGACTATCCATTAGAAAAGAAGAAAAGTCTTCAAAGTAGTTTATTAGCAGAAAATCAAACATTGTCTTGAATGGTGCAGCCTGTAGCTTTTTTCAGAATTCCTTCCCCCCCCCCCTTATTCCCTCCCTTTGATTTGTTAAGTACTGTCAACTGTTGTTTCTTTGTGTACAGGTAATACTGGTAACACAGAAGGACACCTTTGTAGGCTTTTCTAACCCACTCTCTGCTACTGTCAACTGTTGTGTCATTAGCAGGAAGAAAACTTGGTACCCAGATTCTGGGTAGTTCCTGTGTCCGCTGCGTCGTGTTCTGTCCTCTTCCCCCGAGCCTGGGATCAGGCTCATACTTCAGGCATGTGGTGCTTCAGTCAGGAGTTTGTATTTGTCTTCATACTGTGAAGAATGTAGATACTTCAGAATTTTGATTTTTTTTTTTTTTATCTCTGTAAACCATCCAGTGTCATTTTTGGGCCTAAATCCTCATTAGACTGGTGACATATTTTCTGAGCAGCCATCAAGCAGAGCTCTCTGGAGTCTCTGCTTGTCAGCTGTTTTCTAATTTAACAAATGCTAGCCTACACAAATTATGATAAAATGGCTTGGGAACGCTTGGTGTCTTGCCTTCTTTCCATCTGTCAATATTAGAGGGGGAAAAAGTAAATTTCTAATAGGTTAAAAAAACAAATGCGGATAACTTTATTGTTAAAACTCTCATAAAAGTCTGGTTATCTAAAGACTTGGCAAAGTGTAGATTTACTGGATACATTCACTGTCTATTTCTAGGTGGTTTTTCCAACCATAAGAGTTAGAAACGTACTAGTGTTTTAAATGAAAATACTAGCATCCTACAAAAACAATTTAAAGGCTCATAAAGACTTGGATGACTGTGTTATGCTACTCTCTCCTAACCTACTGCCTGCCCGTGAACTGCTCTTGAAGTCTGTCTTTTAATCTTGTGTGAGAAGGAGCTGCAACTGGTCGATCACTAGCCTCTCCTTTGGACGAGGGTTTGATTATCCATATCGCTGAGTCTCTCCCAGATATAGAGGTTCTCCACCTACCTAAAGAGCAGAGCGTGGGAGGTAAAGACTGTGTAAGCAGGGCGATGGTGGGCTGTAGGCAGGGCAGGCTGGGAGGTGTAGGGAGGAGGCTGAATCATGAAAAAGGCAGTAACACTTAGTCTGATTTGCTTTTTCTATGTAACTTTCCAGTGCCTGCTATTGATAAATGACATCCTTGGGACTGTGGCTACCAAAGATCCCATGCAGCTGTGAAATATGGATGCCTGATGTTTTGGATCCTAATCCTAAGTGATACATTTTGATGCTCCTTTAACACTGGTTTTGTTTTTAACAAAAATCTCTACTTTATTTTTCCTAGATTTGGTGGGGGGGGGGGAATGGAAGATTAGAGACAATGTTCACTAACACTTATTTTCATTGAAATACCTTCTAAAACGTGTTTAAAATCCTCTCAAAGAAGCCAGGCTTTCTTTTGAACTGCTGATAGTTTGTCACCTAATACCTTTGTGCTATCAGTTTGAATAGGAAATACATTTATTTCTTTATAAATAAGTTTAGCTTTGTCCAAATAGCTATAGTTTCCTGTTAGATCTTCTCAGCTAGGCTGTGCTGTAAACTGTGTTAGGAGGGATGATACTGCCTGGAATTGAACAGGGATAATGCAAGCCATGGAAGGAAAGCAGAAAGCTACCACAACATTAGTTCTAATTTGTTTTAGTTGAACTGTAATTCACTGAAATGCTAATGCTGTATGCTGAAGGCATAATGCCCTGAAGAGTGCACTTAGTACTACCTGCAAAACCCCAAACCTCAAAGTATGTATCAGTTTGCTTCTGAAGACTTGCAAAATTGAGTAATAATAATTTTCTCCAACTGTCTGTTCTAGAATGTCATCTCAAAAAGTAAAGTTTAATCTATTGGTAATTATAAATTGATCTGTTTCTTCTTTACAGTCTGATCTTCAAATATTTGTGTTGTAGTCATTTGTTTCGCTGTTGTGTACTGTCACTGTACCAAAAGGTATGCATATAAGTAAAACTTGTGCCCCTTACCAGGATTTGGCCATCTGTGAATATTGCAGTAGTTCCTGTCATCAGACTGTAAAACTTTTGTCTGGACATGTGGGCTGGTAACTCAAACAATCCTATCCTTCATATTATAGTATCACAGTGGAATTTTGACTGATAATTTCTGGATATGGAATCAGCATTTTCTCTAATTAAAAATTCCTCATAGAAGTGTGGTCAGCATTTAATGTAAAATTATGGAAAAATCCTGCCTGTTTTATATTGTACACTTCTGAATCTGCTGTTCTGTTCAAAATCATAAGGCATAGGAATGCCAGGAAGATGTTAATTTTTTTAAATTTAGAGTCAATGGCTTAGTTATTAATTTTTATGTTTCAGTACAATATGATATACTTCTTTTATTCTGGTACTCGTTATAAAATTTTTTTTTTGAAAGTAGAGAAGACAAGCAGTTAAAAAATAAACCACAACAGGTTCCAGTCATACTCATTTTTCCACACCTTGAGGACTAGCAAATTCTTTAATATGAGATTTTATTTGTACAAAGCAAAACTTCAAAACCACTCAAAAGCTTTCTTATTAACTGCTGTCAGTCCTTTGATTTACAAGGGCAATAAAGATCTAGAGGGGGCACATTTATCATGGAGTTCAGCACACCAGGAGCCATTTTCTCGAGCGGTAAAGCCAAGTGATAAAATGAGTTCTTTTGTTCTATAACCAAGACACATTCCCTATTTTTAAAAATGTGTGTGTTGGACTTCTTGGCTTGTAGTTTGGCTGTGTTCCTGTAATACTCCATTTATAAATAATGAAAAATTGCTAGCATGCAGATGCTGATGATGCATCTGGAAAAACAGATTGTCTGAAAGAAAGAAACTTGCTTTCAACTTTAGTTTAGTTGCTAACTTTTTCTCCAGTGCTAATTCTTCTTTGAATTTTTTCATAGTGCTTTTTTTTTTTTTTTTTAAGTGGACTAAAAAGTGA